AGAACTTTAGTTTTAGTGTCAAAATGTGCCACATGGCTGCAGACTAATCTTTAACATTTTGCCCAGGGAAAGACAAAATTCTGTTTAATTAATATGTTTGGCCTGAAGTTAACTTTGAATTTGGTACTGAAAATAGTGGACATGAAAACAAACTTTACAAAGAACTTTAAAAACAAAAAAAGTTTAGATATATCAGTAAGAATATATATGTCCAAATCAGCCCATATCTCCACCCCAGATGACCTGAGGAGTAGAATATGGGATAAAGATGTTTGTTATTCAAGGACTTCCTCCATCTTTGATGGAATATTGCTTACATGCAAAGCGACCTCTTTGGCTGATAGATAATCGAACTGCACAGCAAGGACACGCCGCTGATGAAAACTAAGCAAGGGAGTGGAAAAAAAGCATCATTGGCCTTGAGTGCCATACACTCAAATCAAGGCTTCAAATAGAGTCTTGCTTTTTCTATTAGTTGGTGAAGAAGTGAATATGTATATGAAATATGTGGAGAAAGAATAAAGCTAGTAGCCAGTAGACAGCTAGAATGTACTGTATGCTGGAAAGGTAACGAGGACTGAGGTTGGTTTAAATGCTTAATTGGGAATAGAAATCGATTTGTCTATCAACTGATTTGTCCAAAACTGTTATCTACACAAAGATACACATGCCCAAGGCACAGTCTGAGTACTTGACCACACATGCAGGACAATAATAGCAAGTAGAGATGTGTAGAGAATGTCCTTTAGAGAATGATACTGCCTGATCCTTGTGCTGTCAGCCGAGATTAAATTCTGATTGTGATATTCTCACTTTCAGATCATGTAATCTGTCCACTGGCGTCAAGCAGCCAAATTTACAGTCAGCTTACTTTGACTACTGTTCCCACCATCAATAAATTGACAAACGAGGGGTGGCACTATTGCCACCAGGTACGCAATTGTACATTTGCTGAGGGGTATGCAAGATCAGTGTTGTCACCTTCATGTACTCTGTTCCATAACACCATCACAGAAAACTTTCTCCAACACCCCCTTTAACTGCTGATGGCCATATATTGCTCACATTTGAGTAAAGAGTTAGTGGGACAAAAATAAGAAAGGGCAAGGAAAATTTGAGACTATGAAGACTGCAGTTGTGGATAGCATTCATCCTCACTTTTATCTCAAAGGAGTGTTTTGAAATAAAATCAACTTGCACTGAAAAAGCTAAATCAAAAGAGGAGCAGTCACCGTTCATGTCAGATGGCCTTTTTGACTGGCAACTTGAGGCAAAACGCTGTATCTGCCTCACTTTGAGTTTGAATGAGTCTGAAATTCATAACTATTTACAGAAAAAAAAAATAAATAAAATCAAGTTGCCACCTTTATCTTTTGAATATTTCGATACACTTTAAAACAAGACAAACATGCAAATGAAGTTATTCAGCTGCATATATCGGTTTCCTTCAGTACTTTAAACTGGCATCCTGCTGCCTACAGTCAGCCCTGCTCTGATGTAATGTGCCCTTAACCAATTCTTGTAGGAGAGGAGACAAAACAATTGGACAGCGATCAATGGCAGTTCCACACAGCACTGTCAGAGGTCAGAGGTTTCATTTGGACTGTATGTCATGTGACACGGCGAGCACAGGGATACTACAATCCTGCGACTCAAGTTCATCAACCGTCAGAAGGATAGATCTAGCTCTCCAGATTGAACAGAATAATCAATAGACCCTGGGTAGAGCTGGACTGCTGGCCACTAAACGCAGTTGGTAGATTGAAATAACAGGGAAAAAATAATGATAATGTTAATTTACTTGAAATAGAAAAAGCTAACGTGTACATATCTCACTTATCCCACATATATATTAGCATGTGACACTGCTAATGTTCATTACAATACACAGCAGAACACTGGATTTGATGTAAATTATTTATATGAAACATTAAATAAATTTTCATTTAATAATTAAAATTATTTTTAAACTGAATGAAAACCATTGTAAATGTAGGTTGTTTGTTTGAATGAAATCGAGTGCTTTTTTAAAAAAATAAAAAAAATATTACATTTTTGCCGATTATTTCCTGGAATTTAATTATTGTTTTTGAATTTCATTATTGGAAGGAAATAAAGATAAATTATAACTGTAATAAAGATAATTATAACTGTAAACAAAATATTACTATTATTTTTTATTAAAAATTAATTCAGCATTCAAATTCATTTAAAGTGACAGTAAAAAAATGTACATTGTTTCAAAAGATATCTCATTCAAATAAATGCTGTTCTTTTGATCTTTCTATTCATCAAGAATCCTGAAAAAAAAAACGTATCACAGTTTCCACAAAAGTATAAAGCACCACAATTGTTTTTAACATTAATAATAATAATAAGAAGAAGATGAAATGTTATTAGAACATCAAATCATCATATTAGTATGATTTCTGAAGGATCATGTGACACTAAGACTGGAGTAATGGCTGCAGAAAATTCAGCTTTGCCATCACAGGAATAAAATACATTTTAAAATATATTTTAAATTGTAATAATATTTCAAAATGTTGTTTTTACTTTTTTTTCTTAATCAAATGTAGTTAAAATTGCAATTAATAAAATCACTGAATCTTAAATTACAAAGAAAAAAACATTCTAATGACACAATAAGGTGCACAGAAAAATTGCTAAAATGTTTTATTTTATTATTATCATTATTATCATCATCGTCATCATCATTATTATTCAAGTTTAGATGTAACAGACATCTTTGCCATCTTTATTGAATCTTTTTGCATGTAAAAACCTACCACACAAAAAAGAAAGAAAAATAATAAAATAAAACAAAGTTAAGGTGGCAGCTGAAAACAAAAGAAAATCCTAAAATCGTCATCTATGCACTTTAAATGCAGCAAGTGTAAAAACAATAACATTCTAAGAATAATGGTTAAAACATTTACATATTTATGCCCTTTGCCTTGACCTTGGCCAAACAAGCTTCCAGGCTCCATCAAATACCCCTTGTGTTTCAATATTGCCAAGACTTTCAAACATAGGCAAGATCTCTTTCATTTATTATAATGCAGTACCTGTACTTAGCATGCTAATAACACATTTCATCTTTCTTCGTTTGCAATAGAGTAACTGAAGTGCAAGCATTAACATTTACAAATAAAAATTAAAACTTAGACAAAAAATAAAAATAAAGAATCTTGTCATTTAATACCCAACTGTATAAATGGTTTGTTGAAAAGCGTCAGTCTATAATGATTTCACTTATTTTTAAGAGGCATTTGCAGTTAAGCAGCGTTGTAAGGCTAGTTTCTTAGAAACAGAGAGAGAGAGCAAATTAGACATTTTGAGCCTCAATCTCTCCCCCTTTTCCCCAGTTCATATAAATAATGTCTGTATGAAGTCAGACTAGACCCAACTCACTGAACCTGTGACCATGAAAAGGAGCAAGTGTGGAGAAGCACACATGGGAGCACTACAACAACAACAAAACAGACATCTCAAAGTTGCTAGCAAACAAAAACAAAATCTGGGAGGTTTAATTTTTTTCCCTCCTATTCAAATAAAATGGAAAACTGAAGATGCATGAACAGCTTTAAAATATATCAAGCGCTTGACTTGACGAAGTATGTCTGGATAATTTCTGAGCTCATTATTACTTAAAAACATGTTTTCAGTCGCTCAGGTAGACAGTTGTCCACTCCTCATGATAAAAATTGCAAAAGGAGCATGGGAACCAAAGTACAGCTGGGTGAAACAACAATATAAATAACAATGTTATGCCTCTTTGAGACAACTGCCATCGAAAGGCACCAGAAACACCTGCAGTTATTAAATTTCATCAACAGTACACTGAATAAAATTGTTAAAAAAAAACAAAAGTCAAAGGTGTTTTCAACTGCTCTTTAGAATTAGAGGTGGAATGAATTTAGACTGGCAGAAAGTTATTATTTTTATATTATAGAGCACTGGCTCCCATAAAATGACCAAATGTAGCACAGACTCATCAGTTTCCCTTGAATGTTCGGTATCAAAAGAGCAGGAGAAAAATACAGGAAGACTTCAGTCCAATACAAGCTTCTTCATCAACTACAAAGCACAAGTACATGGTAAGGAGAGGCAACAGAAAATGACAATGCTTGGAATGAATAGTGCCCTTTTGTGGCCAAGAGATAAAAAAAAAAAAAACATAGCACTTTTGTTTAATATTCCACCTTTGGAGGAAAGGAAATTGAATTGTCTTACTGTTTTCGTGGAAAAAAAAAGTTCAGGTGTTGCTTCATTACGTCGTTTGCTACATTTGCAAATGTAAACGTTTGTCAGGGCCAAATTCAAGGCCCTTATTCAGATGCAAGTTCAATGTTGCATATCAACATCTCATGTAGAAAATCTTTGTACAATATATCAGGCACTGATAATATGATTTTACTATTAACAACCTAGAAAAAAATATATCTTTTTTTATTCCTTCCCAAATTTAGTAGAGAATTGCATCTCAGCAACTAAGGCAGCAGCTTGAAAGTTTTGATGGAATTCTGTGACTTGAGTTACCTAACCCTATAACTTAAAAAAAAAAAAAAAAAAAAGAAAACATCAAACAGAAAACTATAAGACATTTAGTATGCTGTTAACTCGAGACGGTCAGACTATAATCTAATGTTGTCTATTCAGCCATACACATTCCCTGAGGATGCTGGATGTTTGAAGACGGCAGTCATTTATGCTGTTACCATAGTGACAGATGACTGACACATTTTTCTACACTGAGCCACACATGCAGAAACACATCCTCATATTTATCAGAACCAGGTAAGAGAACTTTCCATAAATCTGTGAATACACATGATGACGAGAAACGAAGCATTACATTGGAGTAGATGTACCTTGCTTGCTGAACTGCCTTGTCAAAAATTATAAATCTGGACTAACGAAAATATTTCTAGATTGAGTATCTACATGTACCGATGTCTTCAAAAAAAAAGCAGTCTTTGTTCGTTAAAAGTGTGTTTGTGTGAGCTCCCACAGAAATGCTATGCTGACTGAAGTTTCTTGCATTGGCTGCTTAGGCACCATGATCTGTCTTAGCACATTTCAAACAAAAAGTTCAATGCATTCATTTGTACAATCCCTCGCTTTCCTCACTGCTCTAGTTGTGTTCGGACTGCAGGTTTGTAAAGCTCATTGGTTAGAGGGGTTGGCGTTCGCCTCGGGGGCGGCCCGGTGGAGGCCTCGCTGGATGTGTGTTGTGAAATCGTACTTATCGGCACAAGCGTGCAGGCAGATACTGCACTGGAAGGGCCCGCCGTCACCATGGCAACTCATGTGCAGGGCGTACAGGACCTCGTCCAGGAAGACAATGCCACAGTGGGCGCATTTGCTCGAGATTTCATCTTGCGTGGCCTGATCAACCTTCTCTGGTTTTGGGACTTGTGAAGAAGAAGAAGGGCACTCGTCTTCGGGTTCTTCTGAGCGTTCTGTCTCCCGCTCCCTTTCAGAAGCAGGTGACGCCAGTTTCTCCTTGGTGACGAGGGTCCCGTTGGGCGTAGCACTGGGTTTGGAATGTTTCATGGCCAGATCAAGAGGCGTGTCGCTTTCGGGTCCAGAAGGGGTTGGTGGGGGGAAATGAGGCGGTAAGCCGAAGGAAGGGTAAGGCACAAAGCTTTGGCACGGACTGGGAAGGCCAGCCACGGGGCTCAGGTAGTGGCCCGGGTTGCCCGGCACAGACATCTTGTACTTAGTCCAGAAGCGCAACCAGTCACCTTCATTTTGCAGGTCGTTGTGGAGGAAGGGTAGGCTGAAGAACGGATACTGGTACTTCTCGATAGGGCTTCCAGGAGGAGAGTAGCTGGCCTGCTTCGATGGACGCATGTACTTCTCAATAGGGCTGCCCCGTTCTGAGCCACCTTTGCCGTCACCGCCCTGGGGTCCTGCGCTGAGCCCGTTGCCCTCGGTCCCACCGTCTGTAGGGCTCTTGTGCATATGCAGGGGTGGCATACGCTTGTGGATCTCCAGCGTCTGGTTGACGAGGAACGCGTGGGTGGAGCGGGGACTAGGGTGACTTTTGGGTCCTGAGGGACCATAAGCCTCGTATTTACCCAACTGGGCTTGGGCCTCGGCACGTGATAAAGACCCATCAGATCCTGCTTCCTCAGACCTCCTCTCTAAGGGGCTGCCGTTGAGACGCTCCTCGCTGTTGACACGCTGCTGCTTGGACCCCACCTGCTCAGACTGTACGGGGTCAGGATTCAGGCGCTTGCGTGTCCGTCGACGGATGATCTGCTCACCGTTGTTTTGCTTGATAATGTTCAGCGGTCTAGGGGTCTGAAAAAGAGACATGCAAATTATTCAATTTTGAAATGGGGGTCAATGACATGATGCTTATTTTTCTTAACTATAAATTTATTAAAATAAACACATTAAATTCAGTTCATTCATACAATGACTACTATAATGATAATGTTTTAGAGTTCTGAGTGTTTTTTGTTGTTGTTGTTGTTTTTCTAATTTTTCTATCTAGCTTAAACTGCAATAAAGTTTTAGTCATTTTAGTACAACAAACTTTTTATGTGTAATGTTATTACATTTTATTTCAGTTATTTGCTAAGGCAACATTTCTAATTTTCATTTATGCATTTTAAGTTTTTCATCTAATAATTCTACTTAATAATTTCAATTAAAAGGTCCTGATATCATGAAGACAAAAAACTAATAAAAACGTATTTTATAGGAATTAATAATTCACTGTAAAAAAATTTTTTTTTTTACCTCAATATATTTTTTTTGAGAATAATTAGGACGTATATACTCACATATATTTGAAGAGTAAGTATTTTTTTAATAATCATAATTTACTTAATACTTAAACCACAGCCATCAAAACCATGTGAAAACAACAATGCATTTCTAAGGATTTAAAAAACAAAACAAAACAAAAAAAACACAAAGCTGCAACCAGAGTTTCTATTTACTGCCACATAAAAAGGTCTCTGATCTAATATTGTGATTTCAGTGGAGTGATTAATCCCTTCTGGGATTCAGAGGACACACTCCTGTAATTAGGCTGGTTAGCATAATAATCTGCCATCAAATGGCTATTAATTACTGCTTTATTTTCACTGGACTACATAAGCCTAGCTCAAAAATCAAGGCAGTACAGTGAGTTCACAAATATAAATGAGTGAATTATAGAAGTGACTTTCAGTTTGACTACCGGAAAGAGACAGAAATCAATGGGTGAAACTGTTATCAATTGTGCTACTTTACAAGAAAAAGCCCAAAGTAACAGTATGTTCCTTCTCATTTCTCATCCTTTACGTCTATGCTAAAATGGAAACTACTGTGGTTGGAGAGATGTGAGATATGCATATTTCCTTCCTTTGGCAGACCTGCAACAGCAGGGAAAGAATGGAGCACTTGTCTGTAATCTATTTTTCTGAGCTCAGATTCCATCCGGGTAGGCAGTGGCTCAGGGGGAAAACTTCAGTAAGGTGACGCAACTCTTCTGCTGCACTGCCAGACACATTCTTCCAAGTCCTCGCTTGATGCAGAGATCACCCACAACTCACCCAGAGCCAGAGATAATTGGCAGAAGAACTATGTCGCTCCCCTCTACCACCTTTCGACTACTTGTTGACTTTGAGGTAGAGGCACATCGGGGGAATCAATAATGTATGGTAGCCACTTGCCTTTGTAGCACCCAGATCCACCGTCATGTTTCTAGGCTAAGGAAAGCAAACTCACTCAAAGATGGGGAGGCTTGGGAAGCCTGAGTATTCCAGTATGACAGAAGGAAAATATCATTTCTCTGGTACCCATTTTTCCCTTAAAAGCTGGAAAAATAATTTATGCAAAAATGTAGCTCCAACAAAGCCACCTCAACCTAGCCTTTGGCTCCGAACCATATAGGGCAAGAAACAGGAGATGCATAATTTCAATAATGTTTGCCCACTGGGGACTGGAGTTAAATCTAAAACAAATCTTACTGTATTGTTTCAGTTCTGTTAATGCCCTGTGATGGATGGTGTTAAAATGCAAGAGATCACTCTTTGGAACATGTCAGGCCTGTTGTCTGTCTGAAGAGAGGATGGGAATGAAAGCCAGACAAATAGAAAGAGTGCCCTCTACTGCTGGACCATGTCAGGCCCTCACTGCACACTACAGAAAGAGGGCATTCTTTCCCTTTTTTGTGTGTGTGTATCTCTTCAGTCTAATTTTCTAATGATTAGTATTATTTTAAAAATGAACATAACTTGATTTATCAGTTGGCTATGAGTTTTTGACTTTTATGTTTCAAATATCAAACCAGAAAAGAGACATTCAAGTCTTAAAGCCTTTGATTATATCTACAGTACTTGCCACTACAAAATGAATAACTGACAGGAGGGGGATTTAGTTTGGTGGTCCCTGCACATTTAATAATCAAATGTAAGTATTTTATAGTATGAAGAAAACCAGAATATGGAGTTAATTCTGGCAGACTTCAAAAAATAAAGAAAGCAAGAAAAATATAATAAATGTGTATTAAACTGGAATGTATATGACAAAAAAGGGAGGAAAAAATAAAATAAAAGGTGAAATACAAAAATTAAATTATATGATAAATGCATCCAGCACAAAAAGAAAACTAGTTCTATAAGTCTCTTTTGTAATGTACTGTAAATCTACTCAGCAACCTTGGGTATCTCTCTATTTATTTAATCTTATCTAGTTTTGACAGTTTAAGTACCTAAGCGAAAGACTTACAGGTAAGGTAAGATTTTCTTTTTTTTTTTGTTTAAATTAAATTTATTAAATGCTTAAAGGAGCCTAGAAGGCCTGTCTTGACTGTGCTGTCTGTGAACAACGTTGTGTAGAACCTTGTTGCTATTCCAGATATTTCTTTCTACCTTTAGTGCTTTCTTGCTCCAATGAGTGGTCAGAGTTCAGAAGCTGCGAGAACTTCTTGGAGAACGGACGACATATTCTTTCTGCGTCCCACATAAAAAGTTCCATGATGATGAATCTGAAAAACGGAGGCAGCCGCAAGTTTTATGTCGGGCATTGACGCATGGCTACGGCGCATGTCGGGTCCTATTATTAGAAGATAAAATCTGAGAGACATTTATTATTGCAATGTGTTCTGGCACGAGGAGCCCAGACTTCCATTTAGGGCTCTCTATAGTGTGGTTTTATGAGGTGCTATTATTAAATGATTTCTGTACAGCATATAAAAGTTTTTATTCAAAAATATAAAAGTACTACTGGAAACTGACTGCCAGGTTGACATGAAGGACACAGTCTCCGCTGGCTTGCGTTAGCGGGCCATCAGTGAAACAGTCACTCGATTATTTATCAAACCAAGAACCTGAAAGACTATGAGATATCTTCTACTAAACAGCCCCACCGCCTTTACTCTGCTTCAAAAATCAAACTGCCGAAAATGACTCAGCATCTTATAGCAGAAACCAAAAACACAAACATCAGGCAAACAAAGCCTGTAGCTAATCGACAGCATTTCGAAGGATCCCGAGGGCTTCGGAGAGACGTCTCCACATCTTGTTTATTAGCTTCTAGTGGAGTGTGACGTGTACACAACCTGATGGTCCATTGCAGAAGCTACTTTACAGTAAAAGAACACAGAGAAGAGCAAAAAAAAAAAAATGTCATTCAGTCCACCGCTAGAAAGCACAGGCTTTAAATCATCGCACCACACAGCTGTAAGTATCATCAAAGATGAGCACTGAGCTAGAACTAATAAAATACAGATCTATGCTATTGCTAGTTTTGTATACAATCTGAGGGAAATACACATTTTCACCAGCACTGTATGCAGTCATTGCACAAATGTAAATAAATAAGCTCAAGAAGAGTAAAGGTAGCAGTTCTCATTAATAGGTTTAAGGTCATAACAGATTACATCAAAAATATCAGAACCAATGATTTTCATACATTTCGGTCATTAAAGGTTCTGAAATGTCTATAACATTCTTTCAATAATAATGACAGTGCCACTTTACCACTGGCACACAAGTCATAGTAAAACTAAATACAAGATACAGGTTTTGGAGAAACAACAAACAGCGAAGCTGCAATATATGTAAACATGTTATGCAATACAATTACTTAATAAATTGCAGAACTTTTTATTTCTATTATTGTTATTATTATTTTATTTTTGTACACTACCGTTTAAAAATTTGGGCTAAGATTTTTTGTTGAAAGAAACTAATACTTTTATTCAGCAAGGATGCATTATATTGATCAAAAGACTTTTCCATTTTCACAAAAGATTTCTATTTAAAATAAATGCTGTTCTTTTGAAAAGTCTATTCATCAAAGTATCCTGAAAAAATGTATTACGCTTTCCAAACTAATATCAAGTAGCACAACTGATATCAACATTGATAATAACAAATGTTTCTTGAGCAAATCAGCATATTAGAATGAATGAATGAATGAATGAATGAATGAATGAATTAATACATTCTGGGGAAAAAAAAGATTTCTGAAGAATCATGAAACAATGAAGACTGGAGTAATGACTGCCGAAAATTCAGCTTTGCCATCACAGGAATAAATTACATTTTATGTCACAATTTTTCACGTGTAACCAGTTATCGCCTGTGAGTCTGATTAGGCCTGAAGAATAACTGAAGCCATTGTGTTCCACTCTCATCAAATTCATCTTCTCTCTGCTTTTAATATCAGTGTGATCTCAGTTGTAAAACTGTCAAGAATTGTTCCCAATTCCCTTAAAGTCACAGCCACCCCACTTTTTCTATCCTAGGAACCCAGAGCAAAGACTGATCCGAGCATCAGTACAGCTTCTGCACCAATGCATGACGGAACTCCAACATAAATGTTAAAGTTAGAAAAACTTCCAGCATGAGGAAACTTATTTACTCCAGACAGTGTTTAATGTGGGGCAGTAAATAGAGCGTACAGTATTTCACAGGCTCAGCTGTGAAGCGCCCATTGATTGCAGGCTCTCTGATGAGGCGGTGCGGACAGACGGGCAGATGTGAGTGCCTGTGCTGGGTCAAGTTAGCATGACTCAAGCCACCAGGTGGCATGGCCCCTGAAAGAGCCTCTTGTAGTCCGGGCACTGTGGTGCATAAATGCCTTACCCCAGCCGACCACACTGATTCAGTCGGCCCCCTGTTTCCGAACCTGTGCCACCCAAGCACTGGTCCCGATAGCCCGAGGCCACCGAGGCAAAAGAGTGCTTCCAACATTGCATATCAAGACAGGAAGAAACCGTAACACTCACAGACTTGACCCAATTCTCAAGGAGCTCCAAAGATTAGAATGCAAAAGCAACGTTAAGTCCAGCAACAGGCCCGAGCACAATGCTTTTTCTGTTTCTCTGGCTTAATTACTCACATGTTGTCGAGTCTGTTTACCCATCATGTTTATCCAGACACCATTTCAAAGGAAATATAAGAAAACTAGAACACTTTCAAGTCTGCACACTAAGCTTTAGGTACGGCTACAGATGTGAAAGAAAAATCTAATTCAGATCAAAATTAAATTCGGAGAGCAGAGAACTGAGGCGATAAAGCAATCAAATTAATTAATTTAGTGACCGAGTCCAGAAACGAGCAGTTTCTTTTCTTTGTGCACAGTTCACACAGACTAACCCAAAGAATGAATACAATAGTCACAGCTTTATGCATTCATAAATGTCATCATATATAAAATGTTTTTTTTTTATTGTTGATAATATTCGGATAAACAGAAAGGGTGTGTATGACTATAATTAAGCGCAACAGTGCATACTCACTTTTTCAGTTGCCCTGGTTCCGGAAGTATTTTTGCTATTCATGTCTTTGTTAAAGACTTATAGGCTATGAATCAAACCAACCAGCTATGAGGTGAATGACAACATTACAAACTTTGATTTGAAGGAAAAAAAAAATCAGACAAAAAGACAAAAGTACACACTGTGTACTTGGAACAGCTTTAATGAAAGAAAGAACTACAATCCAATGAAGCACTGTGAAAGACAAACTAAAATCAACGGAGAAATAAAAATAAAAATATATATATATATTTAAAAAAAACTATAGATTTAATGATGTCAATTGTGTATATACAAACAATATTTTATGTTTACTGGAATATACACACACACACACACACACACACACGTATACAAATATTACAGTTTGAGGGCATAGGAGGAGACTCTTCACATAATTCACAGTGCTTCATGAGAGTGATTTTTCTTTTAGAGCGATTTGCTTATCACAATTCTTTGATGGAGATTTTTTTGCAGAATCATGGATAAAGCAGTTTTCTGCTGTAATCTGCTGTAAAACTGAATGATTATTTAAAAAAATAAGATAAAATAATGCAGGCTGATGGCTTCAGCAAAACCATATACCATTAATTAAAAACTTCGGAGCTTAAAGTTCTGTCTTTAAAGGTTTACAAGTTATCATTAAAAATCAATACCCCTATGGAGAAAATGAATTGGATTTTTACTTTAAGAACCAGAATGTTACACTCTAGCGTAAAGGAGATTTTAAAAAAGCTTAAAAGGAATAGTTTAACAAAAAAAATAAAAAATAATTCTGTCATAATTTTTTCACCCTTCCAAACTTTGACTTTCATAGACTTAAAGGCTTTGGAACACAAAAAGAGATATTTAGCCATTTTCAAGCTGTTTTTTTTGCTTACCATGAAAGTGGATTGGCACTAAACACCTGTAGTTGCCATTAACTTTATCATATGGAAAAAAGCAGCTTAGACATACTACTACAGACATACTACTAAACGTCTCTTTTTGTGTTCCACGCCAGGCTGTTGATGTAAATAAGAATGTATTCTTAAGTGACTTGCCTGGTTAAATAAAGGTTAAAAACAAGAAGAAATTTGTGTTTGGAACAACATGAAGGTGAATAAATGTTAAAGAAAGACTCCACTTGACTGGGTTTTAAGGTTGTGCCAGTAGGCATTGTATCTCGGGTTTTAAGGTCAGGTGTTTGTTAGGACTGTGGGAAGTGGGACTCCCAGCTGGTGCAAAATTACTTCCATAGGGCCATTAGCTGGCTGCAGGGCTGAGGAAGGCCAAAAGGGCTCTTCCCCCAGGGTCCTCGCCTGACAGAAATGAAGCGATCAAACCAGAGCTGCTACGCTGTCACCTCTCCGTTCATTTTGAACTCTGTTTCTGCGATTTGTGGGTGGGCTGGCGAGGCGTTCTCGCCGTCCCTTGCACTGATGTTTTCTTAGCTTCCCCCCTTACCGAGTGCAGCTTCTGATAGAGGCCACACGCATTGCACACGTAGCCGCCGTTGGCATTCTTCCTCCACAGCGAGGTCTTGGTGGTCAGACAGTTGGCGCAGAAGACCCCCGAGCCCCGCCGTCTCTGAAATCATAAAAAAAGAAAGAGAACCAAAATGAGTAAAAAAAGCAGGCTGTGAAGAAAAAGAGTGATGGAGATTCATGCTCAGCATGGAGAGGGGAGGTGAATGTAAAAGAGAAAGCAAGAAAGAGAGGCAGAGGGAGGAAAAGGAGAAAAAAAGTTCCAAGACTCAGCAGGGTGTTGTTGGATATGGCAGCTCTGATGGAGAGGGACAAAATGTGTCCAATCAGAAAGCCAGGATGAGGCACAATTAATAGAACCAAGCTGATTCTAACACTAATTAACCTTCCTGTGATGTATAGGCTTTGTAAGATACCAATGTGACAGCAACAATACCACCCACTTCAAACTGGGTCACCCGCATCGGCCTGACATAAATATTTTGATCTTTCAATAAATGTCTCGAACACATGCATGACAGGAACCTTTAAATATATGGCTGGTACTCAAAATATCTAGTAGCTTGAAATATTGTACTCTACTGTGAGAGAAGGGGAAAAAATAAACTCAAGTAGTTAAAAAAGGAGAGATATAGCCACATGAATCATCCACCGGGAACGGACAGAACTACAAGTGAATCCCGAGAGTCAACCGGGGCAAATCAAAGGAATTATCTCGATTATGGTCCCAGCAAAACTCATTTAGCCTTATAGAATGTGTACGATTTATTTAGCCTAACTTCAGATGGCTTGTGCAGGGAGCACATTTCTCCTGCCAGAAAAGTACAATGCTCCTAATTGTGCTCTAATACATTTAGAATGGAAAGCTTTCTACAGACATAATTTTGGCTTCAAGTCGCTAGAGCTTTTTTTGGCAGGGAAAAGGGCACTTGATTCATTGGGTGTTTCACAACATATCGGTAAAAAGTTTTGGGGCGCCGCCAGCTTTTATATAGGGTAATTTTTCCATCCAGATGCGCCATTGGAGGGCCCTGCATCAGCTAAACTAATTATGATCTCACCTTCGCTGATGCTTGCTCACTCTACGGTTCGACATCTCCCATTAATCATAGATAGGAAATGAATGTGAAAAGAGAATGAGGGACGGTAGCCCGCACAACCATAAAGAATAAAAATGATGGCAATAACTTAATGAGATGGAGCAATGTTTTCCATGAGCTATCAGCAAATGCAAAGTCATACTGACAATTGCCCTTTGCAACCGCAGAGCATAATTCTGATGCACGCAGCATTTCAGGCTGAGAGGGAGGGATCTCTCGTCCTTATGGTGCACATAAAAAGGTAGGTACACTCATTGTAGGTACATAAACATGTTTGTAATGCCTTGCAGCAACAATGACTCTGTCCTTATATTAAGCATTAAACTTATCCAAATCAAAGTCTTGATTTTGCAAAAAATACTGAAGCAGTATTATGGTATGTTGATGGTTTTAGATAAGGTAATGCATTTAAATATTCTATTGTTATTTCAATGAAATATTTAAATTTGTAATTCCAAACCTGTATGACTTAAAAGTATTGGACTGTCCCTTTAAGACTGCAAGATATCTGGCATATAATAAAACACAAACCTACAATACCTTGCTGGAAGATTATCTCAAAATCGAATTATGGCTCATTTACGTCAGAATCAGTGCTTTCTTACAACCTTTAAGCAAAAATGTATATATTTTCTGATCTCAGTGGGATTTTTAGAGGGCCACATGCTAGTTCTGACAGTTTAGACATGATTGATTGATTTATTCTTCCCTATCCTGTTCTAGCGTTACAAGCCAAACAAAGTGTCCGTCATCAGCTTTGTGGATTTCTCTCCCTGGCCTTCTGAGTTCCAGAGCCAAATCACTCACACGTGTTCCCTCCGTTGGCCTGCAGTCCTTCATTATACAACAGCCACATAGAGTTAATATACATACAACCTACACAGTGTGAACACAACTGATAATTTATCTTGTTGGTCAAATCATTCATTTGTGCTGGGCCTCCTGTTTAGCCATCCAGAAAGCTTATATGGCTATGTATACAGTGAGCCAAAAGCTTTGGATTTAAAACAATATAAATCAAAAGCTCTCACTCTCAGAGCCAAAACTAAATCAGAATGAAAGGCTGATTAAGTTTTCAGTGTTAGAATTAATTAGACTCTTAAAAGACATAATCCTGAAGACTCTATTTTCATCAACAGGGAAAATAAATAATGTAAATAAAAAATAAAGAAATATACTTATTTCCAAAACAATCCAAAGTTAGTCGACAACAAGTATCTAAAGGAAAAATACACAAAATAAGCAAGCTATAGAGACAGTTCATTACATTTTAAGTAGAAGAGCGGGATAAAATAAAAGTGGGAGTGTCAAATTGAGATGTGAACGTGTTTAGGAGCGGGTCTTGGGTCAATTACACAGGAAACCCCAGAAATAGCCTTCTCCTGTTGAATGGTGCAAAATCCCAGACTTCCTTTTCAATTATCAACTGGACCAGTCTGCCATCTGTAAAAATGAATGCGTACTTTGCTTTGCCAGGTTCTGTTTTTTTTTTATTTTTTTTATCTCTTTCTCTATCCATTACATCTAAAAAAAAAAAAAAAAAATTATCTATTAAATCAAAAAAAAAAAAAAAAAAAGGACAAGTTGGCGAGAGAAAAAAAAAACCCTGCACATTTGACTGGCTTGCTGCAGCTGCTCACCAAAGGAAAAGGAGGGGAGGCGAATGAGAGAAAGCCCTGATTGTCTTTGTTTTCCCAAAGTGTGGGGCGATTTTTCTCGCCTGCCACGTCTGGCCATGCTGTGAGGTGATGCATTGTTTTTTTTCCACAGGCTAGAGGGGCCGCAGAGAGCCCAGGCCCTGTCTGTTTCCTGGCCTGCTCCAGTTTATCACTGTATCTGCTCTCAGCGCTGCTCCCACTATCTGGTATCCGTCACGGCCTTCGCTAGGTGCCATGCATTATCACACAGCACTGTCACTGGTTAAAACACCACTAATCGTAATCAAAACAAACTTTTGTGCTTTCCTTTCATCCACACTCGGGATGAGGTGTAATAATAGGCTGGATTATGTATTTTTTGGGATCATTTATTTCCATACAGCGAGGGCTACAACAAAGGTATGCGTACAGGTATCGCGGGGTTAGAGGTACTCGCAGTAAACAACAAAATGGCTGTTCTTATTTGCATTGCGGACTGTGATGAATGACCCTGCTGCATTCTGGTACTTTCTGTGGGTGTAGCCTGTGCATTCTGTTTGTACGTGATTGATTATGCATGCCTAACACTAGGCGCTCTAGGGAGTCAGACTAATTCGGTCCTGGTGAAAGGAATCTGAAGTAATTAGAGGCAGGACCTAATTACATCTATTTATTTAACGAGCATGTTCCCACAATCCCATAAAGCTCTCCATTAAAAGCTTCTAGTCTCAGGTGAAAGAGGCGGGGAAGAAACATCACACCTTTCTGTCTTAAACCTATTACGCTAATCAGCTGCTCCCGAGGTTTTGCAACCGGTTTCACATCCATTGTCAACTTTTGGTGCTCAACAATGCGCCATCTATGAAAAATGTCTGTTTTAGAGCTGAAAATAATAGCTTTCAGCACCAGAGAGATTTCCAGGCCTCTGCAACGTCAATCCTATAGTCAGTTTTGGTGAGGTGGACAGCAAAATCGTGCCTAAAAGTAGAGGCAGTTAAAATGATGAGGGGAAGCAGGGGATGCTTGGAGACTGACACCCATCACAGATGTAATATGTGAAAATAAGGGCTAATAACGCATTTGGCATGCCATGTGGATGTAAGAGAAAGGATTCTTTGGTTTAAAGGGGGTGATTTGCACACAAAGCCGGTGAAATGAAATTACATGTAATTCACTTAGGCAATCCGCGGGGCCTCTTACATTAAATAAACAATTATTTAATCAGCTGCGGGGAAATTAGGTGAACCCCTACTGACAATTTCAATTTCAGGAATCCTGCATCAACATTTCAAGGCTCAGGCAGTACCACCGAAAGCCGTCAGCAAACATCTGGATACAATTGCAGACATATCGAACCATCAAGTCCTATCTTAGGTGGATGCTATACTGGGTTTAAGCAAATCCAAAGGCTCTTGGTGAAATGGAGTCGTAATTATATAATTCAGTTTGATAAATAAGGTTTAATATATTCTGTGAAAGCGTCAATTCTCCTAGAACCTGGGAGGCCACAGTTCAGGGTAATATTCCCACATCACATTCACATTTCTTCACGTTGCTCTCGAAACGCTTCATGTCAGGAGAAGTCGTCTTTAAAAAGCAGTAAGGACGGTCTCAAATCATTTGTAGTGAATCAGAAGGTTATTTAAGAACTTTACATATCGGAGAGCACAGGTTAGTCGTCACATTTTCAGGCCTTTGTATATTTTGTGGACAAAGGGGGGCCTTGAAGTCGAACAGGTTGAGGAAACCACTGCCACTGCCAACTAGACCCAATATCCCATGTTAAATATGCAAGTTGCAACTGTACATTTACCATAAAGATAACGATGGCATCATGGGAATGCATTTACAGGAAATGAAAGACAGAAATGGAGGAAAACGTCAACATGTCACAAGCTAACCAGTTCCCTCGGCCCAAATTCAAGCCACCAAAACTCTCTGAGGAGATGGGCTTCAGCTTTCCATTCAAAGACAGCCCTTCTGTTATCTCCATCCAAATTTCCATCCACCCCCTTTGTCCTGCCCTGGATCGCACCGCACCGTGGTGTACCCCACTGACACACGAGACTATCTGAGCCTTGGCTTTCTCTCTAAATCAGATTGAATCGGAGGACATGATCAAAGACAGACGGGTCTCTATCTGGAAGTGTGAAGCACAGATATCCATTTGCACTCAAGAGGGCTTATGGTTGTAGTCATGAGAGTAGACTATTGTACTGCAAAAATCAAAGGTCTCCCTCCTTCTTGTGCAAATAGTAGGTGGCTTTATGTATTTTGGAATAATCTATTCCAGAGGCCGAACAATGCTCCGGGCTCCCCTTACCGCTACAAAGGCATTAGGCCTTTTGACACTATCGCTACACCCG